TTATTATTATTTATTTATTTATTAATTTTATTAATAATTTATTTATTAGAGCCCGTGTGGGCACTATTTAGAACTAGCCAAAGCCTACGCTACCGGAGATCAATTAGCCACAAAGCAATTAGCGTCGAAATTCAGAGAATCTTTTATATCAGTTAGTTTATTAATATTTATTAACTGGCACGCCCACCTTCTCACCACGCCCACAGGACGGTAACTATGGACTAGTTCAGAGGGTAGTGAGTCAGCTAGTGAGACACAATGTACAGAGATTAACTATGGTTGGTTTACGCATTTACTAATTCGTTTTATCTTCTTTTTGCCTGCAGTCTTTCATAACACTGTCACTGGAGGATGCAGCACAGAGAGTTGACCTGTCTGACTCTAATGAAATGGAGAAAATGCTAAGAGACATGGTAAGACAAAAACCACATTACAAATGTTTAATGCAAGTACACACCTCCATGTACTAATAGTATTGATAATCTTCACATACACATGCTAATGCAAAATTATTTGCTTTCTTTTTATCTTTCCCTTTTATTCTCTTCTCCTCCCTCCTTCTCTCTCTCTCTCTCTCTTCATTAGATAGAGGATGGTGATATAAATGCTTGCATCAATCAAAAGGAAGAGATGATTGTGTTCAGTGATGACTTTGTGGATGATAATTGTGCTCAGACGCTGGAGGCTAGACTCAAGGAGTGCATGAGCCTCCAACAAGAAATGAGCAAAGCCAATGATCAGTTATCACTAAACCCACGCTACATACAAAAAGTAAATATTTAATTTAAAAAACATCAGGAAGGCATAAATTTAACTTTCAAAGTTTTCATGTTTTTATTGTACACATCAACCCTAATTATACATCAAAAAATAATATTAAAATGATGCCTGTGGATTATTGCCTAGCATTTGTGCCTTAAGTGTTCTAAATATTCATCTAAAAAATAATTTTATTTTAAAAATTAGAGTGGTACTTCCAGAGGTGGTGGTGGAATGGATGACGATCCTTTTGCAGACGACCAGTTAATGTAGAGACACTCCATATCCCTGGTAACCTTTGGAGCGTTACCACGGTAACACAATGACTGAATCTAATCCAGTGATATCACTGATTGTGTTGTAGTCCCTTTTATTTACACACGCAGGGGGTTAACCCCTATTAATTATTATTATTATCATTGATATTAACGAGTTGTGTTGTACGTGTGTTACATTTCTTCTATTAATAATTCCTTGTAATATAATAATGAATTAATAATTATGGTATCAAATGAGCTGATTGACTGATTCCAATTTGAGAAGCACGTAAGTTTAGGAGCATTAGTCAATATAGACTGTGCCCAAATTTTAAACATATATTAGTCTTTATTAACAAGACATCAAAATAAACAACAATTTAACTGATAAATAACAACAAAAATTGACAATAATTTATTTAACAGTGCATCATATATACATTATACATCAAATCACAATAGATTGTAATGAATCATGTCATTTATTGCATTATGAGAAGAGGAGGGATTGACTGCCACCAAAATAATAAGACGAGATAGAGTAGACACCTAATGCCACACAACCTGCTGCTCCAGCGACACCCATAGCTCTTAGACCAGCTAAAGAGAGAGAGGAGTAGTTGGGTTGCATGTTAAAAGAAAGTATTACCTGTTGATTTGTATAATAGTCCTGTTATTGAAGCAGCAGCAATGGAGTTAATGCTATCATCAACTCCTCTGTAATGAGCGAGTGCTGAACACAAAGGAGAATACATCAGAGCTAAAGAGTACAAGTAACACCTGTTAATGTATTCCTATGTTCTCTTTCTCCTTACCTAGCACAGCTGCAGTGTTTCCTAGGAAAGGGCCTCTTCTAGTGCAGCTGTTTAAAACACTGTTCACTCTTAGTCTCGTAGTCCGGCCCTCGGGACGTCTTATCCCCTCCCATAAACCCCACGTACCCCCGGCAGTCAATCCTACATTCAATTATAATTGTCATTCACATAGTGTTAATGGTATACCTAGTAGGTAACAGGATCCCGTACGATCAAACATTTGCTCGTTCCACGACTTCTTGCGTACTTCGACTGGAAATATGAACTCAGGACCCTGGAATAATGAGAGGGCGTGGTCAAGAGAAAACAAGCGTGATGTCACTTACTTGAGGGAGGTAGTTTGGATCGAGTGAGTAAGGAGAATAAAGGCTTGGAGCTGAAGGACCTAATAGATAATACTTTAAACACATTAATCAAGGAGAATATTCACCTGGTGACACGCTGGGAGCTTCTGCTGCTTCCTGCCATCCGTGATGCGCCATCTTTAGACGCGTAATAATGATGCAATACCCAATAACGAGTATACTTCCGGCTTCTCCCGTATATTTTCCGTTTGATTTTAAACACGTGAGATCACGAGGCCCAAATACAAAAAGAGGCGTGTCCGCCAATAATGGCGGCTAGCAGTTCAAAGTTTAAAGAGGAGAGCTCCTCTTCTGGAAATGTTACTAGACTCAGTTATGATGTGGTTGAGTGGTCTAGCTATTCTCCAGGTTATCATCCCAAGTAAGAACTAAGCATTTTTGCATTATTGTAACAACTTTATGTATTGAACTATTGATATTTCTATTGATATTGATTTAATTAAGTGTGACAAGCAAAATAATCTTTGCAGAAGTGTTATGGTTACTTAGCAAGTGTTAAACTTACTGTACTCTCCTCGTTAATTGGTAATCATGACTTAGGCTGTGTAACAATAACAGTCATCGGCCCATGGTCATATCTACATGTACATGTAGTTGGCTAAATTTTTGTGATAAACTTTTAAAAATTTGATCATAATGAGCTCAAAATTTCTATGCAAGATAAGAACAAGTATATGCATCAGAGAATCAAGAATTCTCACCTTGCCATTTTTGATGAAATTGGCTCGAAACCATGTACTATAGTACAGGGACTTTGGCCCGATTTTGGAGTAACTTTAAAAATTCGTAAAAAATCCAATTTTGATCGGAATCAGCTCAAACTTTCTATACAATATAAGAACATGTATATGCATCAGAAAATGTTATAAAAATGGAAAATTCTCACCTTGCCATTTTTGGTGAAATTTGGCTCGAGACCATGTACTATAGTACAGGGACTTTGGCCCGATTTTGGAGTAACTTTAAAAATTTGTAAAAAATCTAATTTTGGTTAGAATCAGCTCAAACTTTCTGCACAATATAAGAACATGTATATGCATCAGATAAAGTTATAAAAATGGAAAATTCTCACCTTGCCATTTTTGATGAAATTTGGCTTGAGACCATGTACTATAGTACAGGGACTTTTGTCTGATTTTTGAACAACTTTAAAAATTCAGATGCTCTTATTTATAGGTTGATAAAAGAGAATAAACCTGATGATCTCACTTCTCGTTGGTTGAGCGAAAGTGGTCGTCCGCCTCAACATGTTATGCTCCAGCTCTCTCACCCGGCCATTGTGACTGAAGCCGTGTTTGGCAAGTATTGTCGACCTCATGCGTGTAACGTCCATAAGCTAAAGATAATGGGAGGAATGAATAGCGAGTATCTTGTTAGACTAGCTGAAGGGTAAGTAATAAGTGAATGAGAGCTACTACTTACTAATGGCGGGGGAAGAAAATAAGATAGTGATTTAGAGGATTAAAGAGGAAGGAAATGAGAAATAGAACAGCAGAGACTTATAGTTTATTCTTTAGTGAATTAAAGAATGATGGCTGCTCTGAAACAATTGCTCTTCGTCACACACTGAAGAACGGTCCATTCCCTTGTCTCTACGTAAAGATTGGTGAGTATATATTTATTAACATCCCTTGCATTTTAGTGTATTTTGAACTCTTTGTCCACAGTATTGCTGGATACTTGGGGCCAGACTAATTTCAGTTTATGGCATGTAGACCTGCTAGGGATTACCGACCCATCAATTGTAAAGGGAGCG